TATATATATATATATATATATATATATATATATATATATATATATATATGTGTGTGTGTGTATATAATATATATATATATATATATATAATATATATATATAGTATATATATATATATATATATATATATTAATATATATATTGTATATATATATATATATATATATATGATATATATATATTATATATATATATATATATATATATATATATGTATTATATATATATATATATATATGTATATATATATGTATATATATATATATTTATAATATTTTTTTTTTTTTTTTTTTTTTTTTTTTTTTTTTTTTTTTCAGTAAATATTCATTCTAATCATTCAAATACAATGAAAATACTACTTTCTTCAAGAAATCAAAAGTGCAAATATTAAAGAATTAGTGCAGATGGCAGACTTGTTCCACTTATGTCTTTCCATATTAACAGTTGCCCTGAAATCTCTGCCAATTTTAAGGCAAATCCCAGTACAAATAAAAATACTGTGATGCCCCATCATCGCTGCACTATTCACCTTAATTGCAGAGAAACTGAGCTGTTGATGAGCCTATCTGCAGCAAAGGCAGACTCATACCTGACAAGTAAGCACTTATAAAAAATATAAGATTGTATTTTGCTGCATAAAAAAAGCATAATAAGGAAACCGTGTCATAATTTGAAAGCCGTGAATGAAATTGTTTAATATGCATTGCGATATCCAGTACGAGTACACTTAGTTTGTCTCTATATTTCCATTAAACTGTTTATTGTTTCTTATCCCACTGAGAGTATTAAATTTTAACATTGCATAATATGAGATATTAGTGGTGACTATTTATTTGGATGTGATTGATTATAATTATATATATATAATATATATATATATAAATATATATATATATAATATATATAATATATATATATATATATATAAAATCAGTATTCTATTCAATTCCCTGTTAGGCATTACATCCTTATACACATCTTGATTTGCAGCCCAATGATAGAGATGACTCTGCCCAGCAGCTGTGATCCTACTTTGGCTCCTCCTGGGTGCCATGTGGCACTGTTCTTCACACAGTATGTTCCTTACAATCGAGCTGATGGCAGACCCTGGAACAAGGAGACCAAGGAAGAGTATGCAAAAAAGGTAGGTACTTTTATAAATAAAACTAATCTTATATGCAAATTTTTGGTAATATCTACTATAATCATAGATATGGGAAATACATTAAACAACTTCCTTTTCATATGATTATGATATTTAATATTGATAACATTTTGTCTTACCATACAGATTTTTAATGTTGTTGAAGAGTATGCACCAGGTTTCAAGGATAGTATTGTTGGTTACGAGGTATTGCCGCCACCAGAGCTTGAGAGAATTTTTGGTCTTACAGGAGGGTGAGTATACAGTTTTGTGATACAGAAAAGCTGCCTAGTCATGTAAACCAAAGAGCATTACAAAAATATTTTGTTTGAAATATAATATCACCAAATCTACCTTCTTTTCAGAATATATTCCACGGTTCAATGTCGTTAGATCAGCTGTTTATATCACGGCCCTCATCAATGCAGCCAGGCCCATTCACCCCAATTCCAGGCCTGTTTTTGTGTGGTTCAGGAGCTCATCCTGGGGGTGGGGTAATGGCTGCCCCTGGTCGTCTGGCTGCACTTTCTGCTTTACAGTGAGGATTTGTAATGTGAAACAATACCATTATTTGTTTATTTACTCATGCTATGTGTTTGACACCCTAATGCTAAGATTTGTATCTCATAATTGTGAGATACAAATAATGAAGTAGCAAAGACTTTGCTTTTTTTACATTATTCATAATACAGCTATTTTAATTCTAGAATACCGTAAATGAATGTATTATTTTTTTCATACAGATTTATATATCTTATTGTACTGTGTATGATAATGTATGATATATATTGCTCAACATAATTTACCAATAAAAAGGGTCCAAATTTTCAGTTGTATTGTATTTTTGTATAATTTATATATACAATCTTAATAGGCATTATAGAAAAATCTGTAACTCACTTTGAACATGTTCAAGATTGAAAAATTTTATATACAAAATTATTTTGAAAAAAATCCTCCCCACAGATATTCTCCCCTTTCATTTTTATTATGTGGATGAAATATTATCTTGAAAACAGAAAGATAAATTACAGCATGAAATAATTAACTGGGTGTTTTTCCAAACATAGGTCTTTGGACATAGAAAGGATACAGGGAAGATGATTCTTGTGACAAGAAAGGTATCCCAGGAGCACCCAAATACAGGGTAAAATACACTTGGTATCTATTTGAGAGTGCAAAACACCCTTACCCCATTCACAGTGGGTAAAATTTTGACTAAAGTTTGGTGAGGTCAGGCTGCATTAATATACAATGTACTGCACCTGGCAAGGCTCCTAGCCCGCAGAAAATGGACCCATGATTTTATTACATGTTAGTGAATATTTGTCCAGGATATAATAGGATGTTACCCAGCATGAATGAATGGGTGAATTAATCTCTAGTCTCATTCCTTATCAGCTGAACAACAGAAGATTCAAGATATAAAGAAATTGCAGTAACGAATAAAAGGGGCTACCAAATTATTTGATTCAGATTTGAAGCTTTTAGTAAAGACATCAGCAATGGGGAAATTAAACGTCAAACAACAAAATGATCTTTATTATAATGAAACACTCCTTTCATTTATAAATTCCTTAAAATATATTTTACAAAAAAAGTAAGGCAAACTGTAAGTTCAACAATTTATACCAAATATGACTTTGGATTAAGGAAATCAATCTACCTATTGGAGTAAAAGCAAACTATTATGATGCTAAATGACTATCATCCATCATTATGGAAAATGTGACCATGATATCAAGAGAGGAATGAACCCATTGGTGCTGGATACATGCCCTGTGGTTTTGTTTTATCACTTTTGTTTACACACAAATGGCTTCACAGGGATGATAGAGTCAGTTCCTAGGCCTACCTGATCCTTCCTGTTTACCCCATTTCTTGATTTTTTGGGAAAAAAATGTTTTCCTTATTACTATTATTATTGTTACTTATGTTATTTATATTATCATTGCCATCATTATTATAATAACATTACTTACAATAATAGTTATAAAAAAAAAATCAAGACATGGCATAAATATGTGAGGCCTGGTAGGCCTAGTACTCCACTCCTTGGTGCTTCTGGACTCATCTATGTGTAAGAAAATAAATGAAACAAAACCACAGGGCATGTATACATTCATGACAGTATTTATGGGTTAATTATTCCTACTAAAATTATATTATTTTTCATTTACTTTTTTTTCTTATTCTTATAAAACTAAATGACTAAGGCAGACAAATATGGGAGCTCAGATTTAAGTGAATTCCATCTCTTTAGTTAAATACTGTTTACTTTAAATGTTACAGCCAATATTACACCCTTAATATTTGATTCACACTCACATGTCTTACAGTGCTCAATTTGAAGCTATTGAGAAAATCTGAAACTACAAAGTATATCTGTGATGGTAGGTATAATCTCACAGTGACCAAGTGATAACAAAAGCATTACAATCATTATCTTTACACATTATGGGCCCAAAAATGAAATATACAGGATTACTATATGAAAGGAGTATTATCAAGTTGCGTATTTTATTTTACGTGCATAGATCGATTATACTTATTTCATTATCCTAATTTTGCTTTTGTATTCAAACACAATGATACATACTGTAAGTAAAGAAAGTAATATACAAAACAATTTCAAGAGCTTGTCAGATTTAAAGTTCTGTCCTCATTTCCTGTGTTTTTCAAAGATAATTACATTGCTTTCTTATATCATACTATTTGTATTACTTTAAAATTTACATAGTTGATCAAAGGACCTTTTTCATAGGAACGCAACAATCCTCAGACAATATGCACAGTACAGCAAGCTAAGAAGTAATAAAAATAATTAGTTCAACGTCATCCATTTTCTGAAAGATGTACGGGAAGGAACAAAAATATCAAGATATACATTCGGGATATGGGAGTATCCCTAGTTCTGTTCAGGATAATGTTTACTTGAAAAGTTTTAGGTAATTGGTATCAGCTCTTTCCATGTCAGCATTATTCAATCACAGATATATATAGCACCATGTGATATCACGAAAACATGAATAGAAGTTATCTTATAGATGCAGTGAATTTAATTTCCACAATATTATACACAGGTAAAATTAGAACACTGTTAACAGTAACTGTCAAACAAACTTTTGGGTCCAATTTTATTCATATACATTTGCATGTGTATATACACCAGTATATATATATGTGTGTATATATATATATATATATATATATATATATATATATATATATATATATATATATATATATATATATATATATATATATATATATATATATATATATATATATATATATATATATATATATATATATATATATATATATATATATATATATATATATATATATATATATATATATATATTATATATATATATAGATAGATAGATAGATAGATAGATAGATAGATAGATAGATAGATAGATAGATAGATAGATAGATAGATAGATAGATAGATAGATAGATAGATAGATAGATAGATAGATAGATAGATAGATAGATAGATATAGATAGATAGATAGATATATATATATTAATATATATATATATATATAATATATATATATATATATATATATATATATATATATATATATATATATATATATATAATATTATATATATATATATATATATATATATATATATATATATATATATATATATATATATATATACATATATATACATATATACACAAATATACATATATATACATATACATATATATATATATATATATATATATATATATATATATATATATATATATATATATATATATATATATATATACAAATATACATATATATACAAATATACATATATATACAAATATACATACATATATGCATGTACTTATGCACATATACTTACAAAATTTGTGCAAATGACATTTAAACATGTATCAATGTGCGCAATCAAACATGATGTATGTGTTATATAATTATATATTAATGAAGACATACTTACCATTAACAGTATATACACAAAATTATAATCAAAGAGTATACTTCTACTTATCATAATGGTGGCTGCCTCAACATGTGCTGTCTGTTCAAATGTTAATATACAAATATGGAAATTCTACAACAAAGTCCTTTTAGAAAGGAAACAGGCTTTATAATTCATTACTACAAATATGGCACAATCTGGCCTTAATTCAAATTCATTGGAGTCCTAACTGTAAAGATAGTGATCTTCTTTATAAGATACTAGACTATGGATGAAAAAATATGTAAACATATGCATTGCTGACTCTAGTAATATATTGTGATAAATATAAATCCATTTACTTTTTACAAAATATCATTTTCAATATGCCATATTCTCCATATATGTAATGAATAAAGGTTTGTTATTCTGTAAATAATATATTATTCATTAAATATATAACTTGTAGATGTGAATAAGCCTTCTGCAATAACAAACTAATCATGGAGTTTGAAAAAGGCAACATTTTTGTGCATAAACATGTTTATCTGTGGGATGGGAAACGGAGAATCTTGTATAGAAACAGTTGAAATGTCCTTTTGTAAATTACTAGAGCAAGAGCAGATATATAAATAAAAAATAAGATATAACATCACTGAGCATACCCAAAAAACATAAAATTGTAAGAATGAGATTAACATTTCTTTTGACATAAGTAAAAATGTAAAGGAAATCTAAAAAAAATTATGTTAATGGAGAATGAAAGCATAATATATATTATTATTTTTTAAGCTATTATCTTACTTATCCATTCTAATGGGGGAAATGGAGATTAGACCTAAGAGAACCCTAGGAATCAATATAATTATCAATTCTCATATTGTCATATATCCAGACAAGTAAATCAAACTGCATACCATTCTCCAGATAACTAAACTGCTGAACTACAACATCATTTTAAGGGAAATCCAAAAAATATTTCTTGTTACAGTAAGCATATACTAATGACTATAGTGCTGAGCATACACCCACTGGAAAATTGTTTTCCTTTCTAGGATAGAGCAAGGAAAGGCTTATTTCTTTTCTTGAAGCATTCCTACAAGGTCAGAAAGTGCAGTCTTTGTTTTGTGCAACACTACAACTTGGCCTGCAAGTCCATCCTGCACAGACCCAATCACATATTCCATTTCTGCCTCAGTGGTGCCGTCTGGATAAGACAATAACTGGTCATTACTTTCACATAATTTTTCAAGTGGAGCAGCCATTAAATTACGGCCTTTGCCCTGACGCCACAGTGGAATCAGCTTAAATTCCTCATGAGGCAGTTCTGGTAACATTGGTGTAGTAACACGGCTGCTGCTGACACTCCAGCTCTCCATGTCCACGCTTCTTGCACAGGATCCCTCTCTCTCATGAGATTCTGTGGACTTAAATTCATTAGGAATATCTGGAGTCCTTAATGGTCTATGTCCTAACCTTGGAGAGCTAGGGATGAGAGGGGTACCACTAGGTGTGACACTGCCATCTCTGCTCATGCTAGGACCTCCTTTTCTTAGTCTTGGGCGGAAATGCCACAGGTGATCAACATGTGAGTCTAGTTTGGAAGAGCCACCCATGTGTACGTTGAGAGTGGGACACTGCACCAGGCACCCACAGATGATTCCCCAGTGTGCCTTGTGACCACCCCGGAGCCCAGGTAGATGATTCCGCTCGGCATCATAACTTTGGCTTAGTTAAGAAAAATAAGAGTGGGATAGATACATGAGAAGCTGAATATAATGGCATATAGGACATGATTCACAAAGTAGCACTGAAGTAAATCAATACCTTTTTTTTATGTAAATCTAAAAATATAGATATTCTTAAATCATACTAAGCTTTATTTGTACCACAATGAGAAGACTAATGCATAAATGTTATAATAGAAGGTATACTACCTATGCATAACTAATACTATGAATGCTGTTTGTAATGGTCTATAGAAAATTGCATTATGATTCTAGGTGGTGTTTATACCATTCCCATTAATCAGTGCCAACACGTCAGAGAACTACTTTCATGAAACTATGAAAATTTTGTTTTCAGTAGCAACATATAGTTCTAAAATACCCTACATCACCAAAATGGGTGCAAAAATAATATGCTTGAGTCTTCCCTTTAAATACACTTCAGTTAATCATGTTTTCACCTTTTTCTGTCCTGAAACTAATAAATGTTAATTGATTAAAATATTAAACCAATGCTATAAAAGGATACGGCACTAAAATCAAATCTCCTTTCATCAAGAGTTCCAGTAGGGTCCTTGGGTCACACAAGACATCTCTTCTGATGGTTGCCTCCATCCCAGTTATTCCTTCTGCTAGGCTAACCATGGCTTCAGAACTAAACATCTCTCCATGCTTGGTAAAGCCTCTTCTCCTGGCCTCCTTCAGTAAGTCGGCAACATCTACAGTCTCAGGGAAGACTTGTGATGCCATACTAAGAGCCACTAAACCACATCTAGTAAGGAAAATTACAAGTAATTGTCAAGTGATTTGACTTAAGTAGGTAAATTTACGCTATCTGTCACCTTTGTGGCACGTACTAATTACAAATAGAGAGAGAGAAAAAAATAAGTATATTTCCAAGGCTAGCACACTTTATCCAGTATTTTCATAATCAAACAAAGGTACTCCATACTTACTGTGGTCCCTGTTGGATATTAGGCCGCAGCTGAGTATAGACTGACAGCGTTTCTGTTTCCTCTTCCAAAATTCCCCAGTCTTTAATATTTGCAAAGACTTTTCTTATCTCTTCTTCTGGTGAGGGGAGAGGTAAATCACTTCGGTTGATGACAACCTTGCCATACGGTGAGATTGAGAAGAGAGAGGAGTTGGGAAGGCCAGGTTTAGGAGAAGTTAGGCGAATGTTAGGTGGTGGAGGTGGAGGTGTATACTGGGATTTAGCATCTGATGATGAAGGTGCTGGTGGTGGCACAGGAGGGACTGAAGAAACTGGAGATGTCACATTAGATGTAAGCATGGATGAAGATGAAACAGCTAATGCTTCTGTTGCAGGTTGTGCTGGTGGAGGTGGAGGCATGGTGGGGGGTTCTTTGGAACTTTCTGAAGAATCTGAAGTAAAAATACTTACTTGATTAGAGAATTTTTTATCATTATCCACATGAGATGTGAGATATTCCCCATTTGATACAATTTTGGGGGGAGGTGGAAGTGGTGGAGTTGTAATTAAATTTCTTGGAGGTGGAGGAGGAGGAGGAGGAGGCAGAAGTGGAGGAATGAGGGGAACAGAAACCGAATCATTTGAAGGGGGTGGAGGGAGAGGGGGTTCGGACTTGTTCTGGGAATCTACAGGAGGGGGAGGTGGTAGGGGGCTCTTCTTCAGACTCTTCTTCAGGGGGTGGTGGAAGAGCTGGTGGCTTATCATCAGTTTTCACGTCCAACTGTGAACTGGAATAGGTGGATGAGACTGTAATGGCCTGAGCATTAGTTTGTTCCTCTTTATTTGAAGTTCTTGAATCTGCTTCACATTCACTTATAGAGGGAGTGGTAGCTCTTGCTGTGGTATTGGAAGTTACTGGAGAACATGTTTCTGAGTTTCTAGAAGATGCAGAGGGTTGAGGTGTAGATGGTGATGAGGTCTCCTCAGGAACTGGAGTCAGTTTTTGTGTTGGACTAGAGGGAGTGTTTAGTGATGATATTGGAGGTGGTGGAAGTGGAGGAAAATCAATCCATTCATTCTTAGAAGCTGGAGTATGAATGGCTGATCTGGGAGGTGGTGGTGGAGGAGATTTGCGTATTGATGTAGATCGGGGTGGAGCTGGTGGGGGACTATGTCTTCTGAGAGTCGTCTGGGGTGGGTTGATTGGAATCAGCATATACTGCCTAGGAGGCGGTAATGGAGCACTCATGCCTGGCTTGGGGGTGTTGACACAGGATCGAGGGGGAGGCGGAGGGGGAGTCTTGGCGTGGGGCACTGGCGGAGGTTCAACAACATCTTCCAGGATGCTGTGAAGGGGGGAAGAAGAAGACAATAAGGTATGGGAACCATTAGTTGGACTGTGTGAAGCACTGACTGAACTACTTCCTAAAACTGAACCCTGACCTTCAAGTTTATTATCATGACTAGACTCTGGTAAAACCTTTATATCTGAACTAACTATAGGTATACTATCATTATGATTACACACTGGTTCTACCTCTTCCCCATTATTGCCCTTTCTTTCATCAATAGCAAAATCATGAGCTAAACTTTCTCCTTGATCTGCAATGGTTGTTTTAATGCCAGTGCCAGTAGTATGTTGTATGGATGATTCAGGGAGAGTGATTGAGGCAGGTGTGGCATTCTGAACACTACAAACATTCAGTGTTACATCATTAGTTTGGCAATCATCACTCTTGACAGAACCTAGGGGAGATGGGAGGGTACTTGACTGTGAAACTGACTCTACATGAGCTGAAGGCTGAGTACTCTCATTTTGTGGGAGTGGTTCTACATATGAACTCTCAGGGATGTTGATTCCACTGGATATAAGAGGCTGCTCTGACACTTGTGGACCACCATCCTCCACTTGTTTTTCTTGTAAAGGTTTAACATCTAATTGAGTTTTTTCATCCTTGTTTGTATTGTTGTTAAGGACATCAGCAGTGTGAGATGAATCAGAATCTTTTCTACCATTTTGTTCTTGTTGTTTTAGTTCACTATCTTTTTCCTGAGGTTTGCCATTTTCTATTACATTTTTCTTCTCTTCATTTATAGTTTCTTTAGCATTCAAGGCACCTGCGTCCTCTAGTGTTTTGTCTGACTCATTTGAAGGGGAGAGAGTCAGCATTTCTGAAGTTTGATTTTTATCCTGTTGGATACTTGTAGAAGCTGGTAAATCTGCACATAATGTTTCCAAGTTACCAACAGTAGCATTCAATAACTGCAAAGCATTGTCTGATTTCCCAGAAAGTATTTTAGGTGAAGGGGATTTTCTTGAAGAGTCTTCTTGACAACTTTTGACATTCACAGGTGATGGTGTCCTTCTTGGGGTTACTGTACCTCCAGTATTTATTTCAGTGTGTGGAGAAGAGGGAGATATTTTTGACTGAGCTGATAATGGGGGTACTCCAAGCTGAACTCCATGGCTTGGGGTTGGACTCCTTGATTGGGGGAAAGACGAAAGTGGCTGTCTCCTCCTTCTAGAGTTTGGAGATTTTGGGGGAGTGCCTGAGGGGGCTCCCTCTGAACCCTGGAAAACATCTGAAACTGAACCTATTATTGTAGGTATTACTAGACATGTTTGAAGGGTATCTTTGGAAGAGTTTGCTCCTCTCTCAGAATTATTTTTGTCAGTTTGATCATTGTTACTAGTCGTTTGTTTTCCACTATTCTCTGACACATTTGTGGCAACTTCACAATCAGGTTTTGCATTACCCTCTTCAGCATCAGTTTTATCCTCTAAAGTGTCCTTTACAAGTTGCTGGGAAATCTCATTTTCTTCTGATTTGTCTTTGTCTTTCATATTAGGTCCAGTGGCAGTACTCTCTTGGTCTGCCTTTTCTTCATCTTTTGCTATTTGTTCTTCATTTCCCTTTGCATCATTCTGATCAGCATGTATATCAGATTTGACTTCAGTATTTTCTTTATTATCTGGAATTTGATCGTTGTCATTATCCCTATTTTTTGTCTTCTGAGCTTCTTCACTCTTTGATTGCTCAAAATTTTGCTTTGATGTGTTTTTCTCAAGTTCTGTATTTGGCTGTTCTTTTAACTCGTTACTTACCTCTTTTTCCTTTTCATCATTTACGTCCTCATTATCAACTTTTATTCCATCTTCTTTGGTATTAGAATCTGACTGTGCAGAGGTATCGTTGTTTGTTGGAGTATCCTTACTTTCTATACTGTTATTACCCTCCTTTTCTTCACATTCTGATTTCTCTTGCTCATTTCTGTTAATTTCCTCTTCAGTTCCTGATTCGGTTTCCTTAAGTATATTTGATTCTTCTTTTGTGCTTTGTTCTTGAGTGTTACATTCCTTGGTTTCAGAAGCACTATCACTCTCACTATTCTTCACTTCAGAACAATCCTGTTTTTCATCCCCTTGTCCTCCAGCTTTACATGACTTCTCGCCACTCCCTGCTGTCGATTCCCCCTGTCCCATGAGGTCCGTGGGCTGGGAGTCCTTGTTTTCATCTCCTTTTTCATTCTCTGACACCTGTGACATCACAGAACTGCCCTGGGTTGATGTTGATTTCATGTGAGGTTCGGAGGATTGTGATGCCACTAACCTTTCTGTATTGGTGACCTTGTGATCAGGACGATGTTGTGATGACGCCATTGCTCTTGCTGAGGAGACAGCGAAGGTTGAAGAATGAGGGGATGGAGAGAAAGAAGATGGACAGACAGGATACTGAGAACCAGATGACACAGTGCCCTCACTGGTCATAAGAGAGCTGTCAGATAGATGGGGAGTAGATGATTTGGAGTCCAGAAAAGGAGAAAGTGAGCTAGGTCTTGAGGTAAATGCCTCTGTAGGAATGGGTGATGGGATTGGGGTTGTAGTTGGGTTGGTTGACAAAGGAGTAAGGTAGTCATTAGGGACTGGTGTTATGGTACAGGATTCTGTAAATGCCGGAGATGCTGTTGCTGACGCCATTGTACTGTCAGCAGTTGCATAGGCAGTATCTGAAACCCCTGGGGATGATGAGGAGAGCATATATGCATCTGTAGTAACAGCAGTGGTGAAGGTCGTAACACTGCAAGTGTCTGCTTCCAAAGCTAATGAATCAAAATCGCCTGTTGGCGACAAGGTGTCTGCTGCAAGGGAATCAAACTCAGCAGAAATGGTGTCACTGTCGGTGGGGAGAGAGAACAAAGATGGAGGTTCAGTGGAGAATGGGGACGACATTTGCGCCATTTCTGTGGTAGAGGTGTTGGCAGTGCTGGGGAAAACGAGAGTGTCCAGATCTGATCTCTCTGTTATCACATCATTTCTGGCTGAAAGGGAATCATCGTCTTCATTTCCTTGCGATATGTCTTCGCTTGTTGATTTCGGCAAAGGAGACAACAAGTCATCCGAGGTTGCGGTTGCAGATAATACATCCTGGCTAGTCTCTGACATGTGGGCACTTGTGTCCATGGTGTCAGGAACAAGAGATAATGTCAGGTCAATAGGTGTAGAGGATACAGATCCTACTGTCTCAGAGAGCTGAGGTGTGGCCTCGGGTGTTTCCATATCTATAGTGGAGTCTTTACTATTATCATAAAAGTTTGATGCAAAGGTCACATCACTCGAGGGCGGCGTCATGGTGAAGTCATCTGTGAACTCAAGCGACGACGAAGTGGGAACCGGCGAGACTCTGAGGGCGTGAGGGGGCAGCGGGGAGTGGCCAGATTCAGGAGTGAGGAGCATAGTGGCTGTCAGAGTAGATGATGACACCAGGCTTGAGGCTGGACGGCCGTCGGCGGAATCCTCGGTTACGTTCTTGCCCGGATACGCGGTGCTCGTCTCCCCTCGGGTCTTCGATTCTTCCGCTGACGCGTCACAGGAGGACTCCGGAGAGCCTCCGCTGGTAGCGAACTCCGACGTTACACCCGAAGCATCCGCCGCGGGGGGGTCTGTGTGTGTTGTTGCAGCCAAGTTTTCTTTCGACGCCTGCCGCACTGGTGGCGTTGGAGGAGGAGGAGGACTAGGTCGGGGGGGAGGGCCAGTTCGAGGAGGAGGAGGTGGGGCTTGTGGGAATGGCTGTTGCTTCGCGACTGAAGCAAATTCTGGTGGGAGCTGTGGGTCGTATTCTGACTTTACCTCTGGCGAAGGCGGGTCATACGAGCATATGTACATCGGGGGCGGTGGGGGCGGCAGGTCCATCATGAGATGGGCCGGGGGTGGGGGAGGCAAGTCCTCCGATGTTAGTTCAGGGAACAGGTATGAAGGGGGAGGGGCGGGGAGGCGGGAGGAGGAGAGGGAGTAGAAGTCCGGAGGCGGAGGAAGGTCAGGCGGGGGCGGTGATGCAACCGAGCACAAGTCAACAGGTGGAGGAGGAGGTGGTGGAGGAGAGGAGGAGGGGGGCGGGGGTGGAGGACTAGAAACAGGCGGGGGCTGAGGCGGGCCTGGTGGCGAAGACAGCGTCGCCGAGGCCTGCACGCTCGCCATGGCGGAGGGAGGAGTGCTAGACTGAGCGGTGTCGGAAGACGGGGCGGTTTCTGGGTTTTGAGCAGACAAGTTCCTAGGAAGAGGGACAGGAGGAGGTGAGGCAGTTACAGCAGAAGTAGCAGCACGAGTGTCAGCAGTGGTGCCTACAGCTACGGAGGCCATTCTACCATCTGGGACAAGAAAACATTACAAAACAGGACGAATCCGAACAAAGGTATAAAGGTTATGGCCGTAATATAATCTGTCACAAGGGAAAAGTTGTTAGTGATGTCTAGAAATCACGTATCAATCTGTCAGTCTTTACAAAACGACTATCTATGGAGGCAATGGCACTCTCACTGAGTAATTTCACGTCACAATCTGAATTAGACCAAACATGATATCTAGACATCATGCACTAAACATGAATGTTTTGTGTAAATGTACTGTCTGTACCATAGATTATGTAAAATAAATTATATCTATACTTAATCAATATCCTCACTTTCCTAAAATCAAGCTATCAATCTAAAGATGCAATATAAAATAAGTACAATACTGCCTATTCAATGTTGCACAAAAATATAAAGTGCGCAAGAGCAACATAGCAATTATACGCATTCGCCTAATTTTCTAGAATAGGTGTCATTCATCGACACTTATCATCAGGCAGTGACTAGGAAGTCGATTAGCATTTACTCCTCAGCGTTAACTTTAGCGTCATTAGTTTATCAGTTCTGACGGATCGCCTTCCGCCATAAGTGCATTCCTGCGCGGTAATTAACCAAAACGAAGCTCTTCGAAAATGGCCACATACGTCAATGCAAAAGTAAATAACAAATCTTAGGATAACTATTACTCCATGATACAAAAACGCATCTCCCAGGACATGACTGCATTTGACTTCGCGCTTGCGGTTCGCGTCCGGCGGCAACGGTCTGTCGGAGTTGCGGCGTGACCTCAGGGGGCTATTTGTGGTGATTCAGACGGGAGCGCGCTGAGCTCCGCCCTCTGAGAATGCGCATTTAAACCCTCAGCCCTTCGCCCGTGTTGGCCCCGCCTGTGACAAGGTCGAGTACGGGGGCCGCGCCTAATGAACAACATATCAGGTGTACCGGCGCCGGGGGTATAATTACACGGCCACCCTAACCTTAAAGCCCAAAGTGCGTGCTGACACCCCAAGCGTCATCAGTCAAACCTAAGCGAAGAGCTGGGGGCTGTCAGCATGGCCGGGGGTTGTCAGCATGGCCGACACGGACGGCGGGAAACAGGACTTTCAGCTGCTGCCACGAGACGCGAAGACGAGCCGGAACTAGGACGAATCCCCGCAGAGAGCTGACACGGTTAAAGCGGTTTACCTTGAAGTCAAGGAGGGAAACAGGGAGAAGAAGAACAAGGATAATATGCGTGGATGATGAAGAACTGGAAGAGGCGGAGTAGGGAATGAGAATGCTCATAAGACAAGAGAGAAAGCAGTCGTGTGAAGATAAAATGCAATAATTAAAGAGGTCGCAGATAAAAATAAATAATAACAGTAAACTTTAAGATATAAAAAAACAATTTTCTCAAATGCAATCAAACAGTCATTTACCAGAAAAAATACAGGACAACGTAACGTTTTGCTGGACATGAGACAGAACAACCATGAAAAATATGAATCCTTTCGATAACGCATTTAGATGCAAGAAACTGTTAGTTCTGTTCTCCGTTCTATCTCGGTCTACATATCATTTGCATTCCTCGTGCTTACTTTTTAATTCTTCGCGCTTACTGTCTCCGATCTTTATGGGTTTATTGTATTTCT